TCCCATTCCTGTTGGTTAATGATAGAGCAGGAATCTCCTGACCTAGAGGTTTCACAACAGATTAGTTGCCTTGATCCACTCACTGGCGCCCGCGACTGCGATGCCGCCGCCAAACCAGACTTAAAAACTTTTACTAGCTGGATAGATGATGGTAACGGGCCCGCGCAAAAGCCCCGAGGCGCGCGCGCCCCTAGCGGTCAATTAGCCTCAGTGCAATTGAGTTCGCTTCCCTTGGCCACCCTCGGCTTCATAACCCCGCCTCCCGTCCCGACCCTTCCTCCCAGCGCGGACGTTGATTGGCGAGAGGCGCACTATAAGAACTTGAGCGCGGGTGTCTGAAGCCCAGGAATCAGTGCCAGTTGAGAAGCGTGATTTCGCCGGACTGTACGGCTAGGCTGAGGAGAGCTGAGAACACTTCACCCGGTCGCCTGGTCTCGGTCTCCAAGTTTTCCTGCATATTCTCCCCTCACGCTAGGCGATGTAGACGTGATGGAGGAGGTGACAGGTCACAGTATCCAGAAGGAAGTTTGCGGGCTGCGAGGCGCCACTCCTTGCTTCTGCTGTCCCACCTGCTGAGAATCCACGCTCATCAATAAGGCGTGGCTCTGGCATCACCTGGGGGAATGCCGGGATGCTCTCGTTTGAGTCCACGGACCCGGGTCTTGCGGATTTAGGATTATGGAATGTGTAAAGCCAGACCTGGTACCAGCGTCTTGTGCCTTCAGTCCTCATGTGGGTCCGTGGGTTCCCATCTCAGGGCCTGAACCCCTACATCTGTACCTGGCAACCTGGAAGGTGTATACTAAGTGTGAATTAGTACGCACCTTCCAGGTTGCGTACTAAGTGTGAATTGACTGAACGAGGCTTGTGGTAGGAGGCAGGGCTGCTGCAGTGGAAAGGGCATTCGCTAGTCCAGAGACTTGGGTTCCACTTCTGGCTTGGCCAGTCACTGCTGCTGAGCAAGGTCCTCCTTTTGTCTGGGCACTGATTACCTTCCGTGTGAAAGGAGAGTGTTTGGCTCCGATAAATATAATAGTAATGCCAACAATAAGCCGGGCGTTATAATAAGTACTGGGGATACAGGTGAGCAACACAGCCCTGATCCCTGAGCTCACTGCATGGAGACAGGAAGATATTGAACAAACTGTCAAAAATGCACAATTACACATTTACTTTTAAGTAGTATATAGGGGACTTAGGGCAGAGATTTAACATAGCCTGGGGTGGGCTTCTTGAGGCCAGGAGTAGAATTAACTGGGGTAGGTAGTAGATGACCCAGGGAGATGGGGGATATAGCAAGTGCAAAGATCTGGAAGATGAAAGACAGACGTTTCTTACCTTAATTGGACATCATAATATCCCTCAATGTATACAAGTAAGAGTGGAAGTTTCAGTGAGTTAAATTGAGAACTTGGAGATTCTTTGGAAGCTCATAACTATTTGAGCAATCCTGTGAAGCTATGTGATGGCCCCTGAGCCTGTGTCCTGACATTAGTGTTCCATAAGATTGCTGAATCTGACCTAAACAGTCCGGGTGCCATGATGCATGCATGCTCTGTGGTGTCTGTGTTCTGACTTTGAGGGGCATCTCCTGGCTATTTCAGAACTAAAAACGTCAGTCTTCTCTTAAAGGCAGCCCCTGTCTATATCAAGCTTAAGTGTCCAGGCTTGATTGCAAAGATAAGGAGATGAGAGAGAAGTGGCTTGCAAAGTGACAGAGAAAAAAATCAAGAGCTGGTCACTGTACCTTATGTAGCACGTGTATGGAGGGGACACCAGGTCTGGTAGAAGAAATTCTGATTTAAGACAACTGAGGTGGCAGGCCCTGCACTAGCTGTGTGAACTTGACAGGGCTCTCAAACTCTCCAAACAATGGGGTCTTGATATATAAACAAGGCTAATTAAGTTATCCTGACATGTAAAGTTCAGAATGGGAGAATGTGTGAAAGTTATTTCTAAATTATAAAGTGCTACCCAACCAAATCAATAATCACCTGGTCACACTGTTCCCTCATAATTTTACAGTATATGCTCCTTCAAATTATGGGAGAGAAAGGATCTGACACATTTTATTTGAAGTTGTAGCAATATACCAAGTTGTTTTGTTGCATAAATATTTTGAATTCTTTCAATTGGTTTTCTTTTCCAAAAGGTGGTTTTAAAACCTCACATTTCACGTATGGATCTCTCCTTCCCATTTTTTTTTTTTTTTTTTTTTTTTTTCAGTATGCAGGCCTCTCCCTGCTGTGGCCTCTCCCGTTGCGGAGCACAGGCTCCGGACACGCAGGCTCAGCAGCCATGGCTCACGGGCCTAGCCGCTCCGTGGCATGTGGGATCTTCCCGGACTGGGGCACGAACCCGTGTCCCCTGCATTGGCAGGCGGACTCTCAACCACTGGGCCACCAGGGAAGCCCTCTCCTTACCATTTTTAGCTGAGAAGAACAAAAAAATGAATTAGAGTAAAACACTTGATAGGCGCTTCGGATTTTTTTTTTAACCTATCCCATCGTCCAACACATTCTGTGGACTTCTTTAAAATTTTTTTTTTTAATTTTTATTTATTTTTGGCTGCTTTGGGTCTTTGTTGCTATGCGTGGGCTTTTCTCTAGTTGCGGCGAGCGCAGGCTTCTCGTTGCCGTGGCCTCTCTTGCTGCAGAGCACAGGCTCTAGGCACGCGGACTTCAGTAGTTGCGACACACGGGCTCAGCAGTTGTGGCACAGGGGCTTAGTGGCTCCGTGATGTGAGATCTTCCTGGACCAGGGCTCGAACCCATGTCCCCTGCCTCGGTAGGCAGACTTGTAACCACTGCACCACCAGGGAAGCCCCTGCGAACTTTTTAAAGTTTTCTTAGGTGGTTTGTCAATGAACATGTCTGTTCCCAAGATTCTTCAGAACATGAGGATTAGAGCCCATATACCTAATGCTGGCTTCCTGCTAATGCAGGATTATTAGAGGCGTGAGTGAGCTGGCCATGGACCTAGGTATGCTTTCAGTAGCCACAGGAGATGTGAATAGAATTTTAAGACCAAGGAACTGTTTAAGAAGTAAGAAGTATGCTTGGTGAGCATCAGAAGTGTGAAACTAGTTATAAGAAACCAGGCAGGTAGGCAGCCCTCAAGTGTCATAGGAAAGAAACCATGATTGGGCAGGATCGGCAGGGAGGGGGCTTGGGAAGCACAAGGTTGCACCTGGGATTCTGGAAACCAGGGATGCCAGCTGTGCTCCTTGTGCCTTATGCAGAAGAAAAATAACATTTGCATGCCAGCAAGCATTACTTCGTTCATTCTCTAACATGAAGTAGATATGACTTCCATTTTGCAAAGCGGAAATCAAGGCTCAGAGAACTGAAAGCTGGGTGGAACTGGACAGGCTTTATTACTTATATCAAATGAATAAAAGACTGGCATTCCTATATGTGGATGCGGGTCCCCTAATTTGATTATCAGATCATTCTCTGGAAAGGTTTTTTAGCTCTATTACATTTTTACCCTATTAAAGGTTTCCTTCAAAAAGCTGGGCCATCCATTAGGCCATGTTAACATGAGTCTTGCTAGTGAACATTTGCGATTGTATTGTTTGGTTTGGCTAACAAGTTTATAATATCCCAATTTACCACTAATTTTCAGCTATTTTAGATGCTGTGCTTTCCTTTATCTTTATCCCATCCAAAAAAATATTTCAGCTAAATTAAACGTGGGTGTTCCCTCCTTGAATGCTATATGCAAGGAACTCGTTATCTCAGAACTCTAGAGGATGTACTCATCACTACAGAGGAGAAAGCTAAGGGGCTGGAGCATGGGGAGAGATGCAGTTAAAGTAGACTTTGCAGTCATTGCCTGGCTTTAATCCTTCCAGGCACTTACTACTTTGTAACCAAAAGCATGAAAACCTCTGAGCTTCTACTTACCCACCTGACATGGGGTCTTACCAGCATGGGATTGTTGTATAGAACTACGCTTGAGATTAGCACAGTGGTGACCTTCATTTAGGTGAGCTATGGATGAGGAAAGTGAGGAAAAGTAGGCACTTACCACATGGATGTAGATCATCTTTGTTTTATGACACATTCCTTAGTGCTCCGCGATGCCCTTTTCCATGTCTAAATTTGAACAATGACATCCATGTTCTCATTGTACCCAGCCACCTCAGGCCCTAATTTACCCTACCTTATTTTTATCAGATATGAATGCCTTTATTTCTTTAAAAATTTGAGCTTTACAAAAAGGGTAACGTGCTATACGTATGTTATTTACGAAGACTTGCTTTTAAATCTCACCCTGTTAAGAATTCCTCCATATCTGTAGTTTCCACCGCCGATAACTGAGGGCCACTTCTTTGATGGACCTTTGAGATTTTTACTTTTCAGCACTGCTTTAAACATTACCAGAGATGTATCTTGATGTCCAATTTTACAAGATACACCAGCCACTTGCCCAAATGGCTATAGTAACATGTACAAATGGTCCTGTACGCTGGAGTGAGGGCGGTCGGGGCCAGAAAGTGCTGCTCAACTCCTCAATCCCATGTCCCCATCTATTAATTGCAGATGTCCCAAGTGCCTGGCACCTACCATGCTCTGAATACACGAGAATCATGTTATATAAATCCAAGTTCTAGGGTGGCCCTGGCATTTTGAAAAGCATATACCAATTTCCACTTCACACCACCATTCAACCACCTCTTCCCCCAAAGCTACTTCATTTGTTAGTTTTTCAAAAATCTGAGGCCTGGATCACCCCCAACAGTGACTCTTATTCAGGTCTAGAGGACAGAGCCTGTAATCATGAAGTCATGCGGGTAGTCCGGACAAGGTGTCTGCTCTGAACCTTTCTCCTCCTGCCTCTCCATGCGGTTTTTCAATGCTGCACCCAGCTTCTTCTTTCAGGAAGACACCACTGAAAGCCAAAGTTCATCATTACACAACACATCCCCAGAACTATCAGTAAGACGAACAGCAGCAAAGAGCTCAGCTTTTTATTGAACGTGCTACTCAAGAGGTTTAGTCAAAAAGACCAAAGCCCATGTCATCATCAGACTCTTCAGATTCTTCTTTCTTTGCTTCCACTTTCTTCTCCTCAGCTAAAAACAAAACAAAAAATAGTTATCTCTCTAAAACTCCAAAGAGCTCCAGGCCCTTCAACTTTCGTGGTCAAAAATACCCTAGATTTCCCTCTGGTTTTAAGATTTCTATACATCATCTACTCTTAGCAAATGAAGAACAATTTTGCCTATAATACTTCTAATCTCCACGCTCTGATACCAAGTTTCCTACCTGGGGCAGCAGTGGTGGAGGGGGCAGGACCTCCTGCTGGTGTAGCACCAGCTGCTGGGGCAGGTCCACCTGCCCCCACATTGCAGATGAGGCTCCCGATGTTGACATTGGCCAAAGCCTGCAATACATATGCATATATAGGTAAATGCTTAGTCCTGTCCTTTTGTTCCAGCACCAAAATGCTGGCTTAACTTGCTAGGAGAAATCTCAAGCTTCCTCAAACACTCAAACCAGGATGTTTTCCACAGTTCATGTCTCCTCCTTAGAGTGAATTCTATTTTTTATACTACTATGTACTTCTAGGACTTTTCCCAAGGGAATTCACCAAAGATGATTTAGGAACAATGTGTCCAATCTTTCAAGTCTCAAGGTTGAAGGACACAAGGTGAATAGTTAGAGGCTATCAATTTCACTTGCCAGAGATTAAGTAACCTACAGAAGGTAGCCAGTGCTAAGTTCCTTGGGTAGGAATCCGGTTTTCATTAGTCTTTTATATTCCAACACAGAATAAGTGGTCAATAAAAGGCCATCACCATGCTGGCAGGATTTGCTTGGAACAGCACAGGTGGTATTACCTCCTGGGTGACCCTTTTATGAAGGAATGACCTGGTTAATATATTTTCCTCATGATTTTAGAACAGAAGGAAAGAGACAGCAGAATCTGAGACCAAGAGAAAAAGACAAAGACATGACAAAGCAAAACCTTAATTCGCTCCCAGAGACAGAAATGTGAGGAAATCATTGCTCATACTTGGACAAGTCCAGTGGAATTCTGGCACTTCTGGAGTTTAGCACAAGCACCTGACTTAACGGTCTTACAAAATTTGCTTCTCCAAATCACTGCCATCACCTTACCTTTGCAAACAAGCCTGGCCAGAAAGGTTCAACATTTACACCGGCTGCTTTAATGAGGGCATTGATCTTATCCTCCTAAAACAAATAGAAACGGCAATCCATCACACAGCAAAGTTTAGCTTTCGTAAATGTCTCCGAAATACTGCAAATTGAAAGCAAATCACTCTTAACGTGGGTACCAAACTACGTTTACCCAGTTCAAATATTCTATCGGCATCGCATGTATGCTAATTTAAGACGACTCTTTCTTCCACTCTAAGGGCAAAAAAAAAAAAAAAAAAAAAAGCCTCTGCTCTTGTGTGCCAGGTACTTCGCACGGCCTCGAGTTCATCGCTGCCACTTCACAGGCTGGGACTTGCCCAAGTCACGCAGCTATTTTAAGTTGTAAGGCAAGGCCAGAGGTGGAGCAGAGCCTCCACACCACGCAGCCAGGCCCCAGGGGGGGGTCTTCTCAAGAGCACGAACGAAGATCACACCAAATGGAGGTATAAAGCGTCCTGGGGCTTTTCCTAGCTGCGGATGAGGCTGCCCACGTGTTGCACAAATTACTCTTAAATACAGGTTGTCAAAGCCCGAGCGCGCCGCCGCCAAGTGAAAGCCACTCCCTCCGGGGCGGGCACATGGCCGAGGCCCCAGGCCGCCCGCACCTGGGACCACCCGATGGGCGCCCGTCCCGCCCGTCCCGCCCGTCCCCCTCTGTCGGGGTGTCGACGGCCGCGGCTCCGGAGGTTCAACATTTACACCTGCTGCTTTAATGAAGGCATTGATCCTATCCTCTGTGACCGTCACCTCAGTCGTGTAGGATGAGGGCCGAGTATATGCAGGCGAGCTCCGAGACGGAGGCCATGGTGCGGGCGAGGGCTAGGCAGGGTCTGCCGGGCGCGGTGCTAGTCGCCGGATGAAGTGAGGGCCTCACCCCAACGCGGCCTTAGCTTCCTCGGAAGGACCGAGCACCTTAGCGGAAGCTGAGGAAAAAGAAGTACCCGCCTTCGCGCAGCCTCTTATACCGGCCACGCGGGCCAATCGGCGCCCGAGCCTTCCGGAAGAGGCGGGACTAGAGCCTCTCGCGACAACACACCAAAGACGCCTGCGCAAGCACGTATCTCGCTCGTTTGCGGGTTCAAAAAGTCTGTAGGCGTTTGCGGACGCCAGTTCCCGTGGCTTGGGTAAAAACTCAGAGCTTGTGAACAGTAAAAATATTTTTAGCAAAAAGTTACCTAGATAAATAGGTATCACTCCCACCTGCTGTAGCCCGTGTGAGAGTGTTAAGCAGGCAGTGACCTGCTGAAGAGCAGGAAATAGATTTTAACCTGGAGGTCCCTGTGCTTAGCGCAGCTTCTCGGATAAAATACTAAGTGAATATAGGAGAAAATGAGAAACCTGCAACGTTACTGTAGCAGAGGCATTTGAGCGCCTACTGTGACCCAGGCACTGAGCCACACTCTGCAAGGATTCATTTAATCCTCACCCAGCATAAGAGGTAAGTACTATTATCTCCATTTTGTGGGTGGCAAAACTAAGGTGTAGGCCCGGTAACTACACAAGATTCCGCAGTTACTACGAGGCCGAGCCTGGATTTGGAATCTAGGAACCTAAATTCAGTGCTTCCTTCTTGTGTGTGCAGAGAGGGATGGGTTTGGGGATTATGGGTAAATTTTGTCTTTTTTTTTCACAAAGCTTAAAAGATATATTAGGAATATAGGGGAACTTTCCACTTCAGCTTCATTTTTTTTTTTTTTTTTTTTGTAAATAAGGGACCCCGTGGTTGGATGTAAACGCCTTGAAACTGTACTTGTGATGTTAAAAGACCTCTTGATGTAACTGATGTCTGGCTAGGTGCTGTTTTGCCTTTTTGTGTCCTTTGAAGCTAATGAAACAGGTGTTGGGTTCATGCTGAGAGGTTTTCTTTAGAATTTTTTAAATTGAGGTATAATTGATATATTAGTTTCAGGTGTACAACATAATATTCGATACTTGTTTATATTGGAAAGTGATCATCATAGTAAGTCTAGTTAACATCCATCAATCATACATTGAGAACAAATTTATTTGTGTGTGATGAGGTCTACTCTGTAAGCAACTTTTCAGTGTGTGGTACATTATTAACAGTAGTCACCAATGCTGTACCTTATATCCTTACATACATGACTTATTTATTTTATAACTGGAAATTTGTAGCTTTGATCCCCCTTCACCAATTTCACTCAGCCCCGCATCCCCACCTCGGGCAACCACAAATCTGTTTCCTGTATCTATGAGCTTGTTTTTGGTTTTTTAGTTTGTTTTTTGTCTGTTTGTTTAGATTCCACATATAATGAGGTCATACAGTATTTGCCTTTCTCTGACTTATTTTACTTAGCATAACGCTCTCAAGTTCTACCTGTGTTGTCTCAAATGGCAAGAGTTTATTCTTTTTTTACTGAATAGTATTCCATCACATTTTCTTTATCCATTCATCCGTTGGTAGACCCTTAGGTCGTTTCCATGCGTTGGAGATTGTAAATAATGCTGCAGTGAACATGGGGGTGCAGGTATCTTTTCAAGTTAGTGTTTTTCGTTGTCTTCTAGTAAATACTCAGAATTTCTGGATTTCCCCCCCCCCCCCCACGGATCTAACTCATGTTTAATAGCACCGATGTGTAGCAGGGACACAAGGTTGACTGACGGAGCCCTGCCCCAGGGGCTCACAGTCCATCCAGAGACACAAGTCTTACAGCGCTGGGTGTGAGTGCTGAAGCACCCAAGAGCACGAGTGGGCATGGAGGCAGGACTGCTGAAGAGCAGAGGGGAGGGCAGCGCGGGCCCAAACAAGACTAGCTGCTAATGCAGCAGGCAAGTGCCTGGAAGGGAGCCGAGACTGGCGAGGAGGCCCCGCACCTCACCCTCCTGCATCGAAGCTGTCCCAGTGGGCCAGGGCTGCTGGTAAGCCCGTACGTAGGGAAGCACCCTTCTCTGCCAAGACACCCTCCCACTTACACTGAATAGTGAGAGCAGCTGCTTCCTCCATGCAGCCTTCCTTAACTTCCAGTCCAGAGGACAGGGGACCCAGGGATCAGAGACTGGGGCAGGGGTCAAAGCAGATACTACAGGAGTTACGTCCAAGAGAGCTGGCATGGCGGACCCAGTCCAGTCCCAGCCAGCACTGAAGGGTGTGGGGTTGGGGGCGGGGGGAGTAGTTACAAGGACTGTACAGACTTGATGGGGACTGATCTATGCAGCTCTTTCCAACTAGCAGGAACAGGCCAGGTGAGAAGGCGCTCCCCAACAAGGTGTGGAGATGCAGCCAGAGAGCCCAGTGGGAGGCAGCCTCTGGGCCACTGACGGAGTCGGAGAATGAGGGGCACAGGGCAGAGGCCATTGTCCTGCTGTGCCCTTGCGTGGCGGTTTAAAGGGAGCCATTTGTGCCCAAACACGGTAGACCCCAAACAAGTGCATCTCCTGCCCAGCTGTGGGGCAAGTGGACGGGGCACTACCTGGTGCACTATATCTAGAGTTGGCTGGCAATGCCACACTGTCCTAACAGGGGGCCGTGGGGTTCCCTGGTCACGCAGGCCGCTTCGTGACAAGGGGGCACTGCCACACCTGCCCGGGCCGTGTTCGGAATCCAGTCCTGTGGGTTGGGGTGTGGGACAGATAATAGTAGTTTTAATTTTTGAAGGAACCTCTGTACTGTATTCCATAGCACCTGCACCAATTTACATTCCCACCAGCAGTGCGTAAGGGTTCCCTTTCTCCACATCTTCACCAACACTTGTTAGCTCTTGTTGATGATAGCCATTCTTAACAGGTGGCAGGTGATAGCTCATTGTGGTTTAAGTTTGTGTTTCCCTGATTATTAATGATGTTGAGCACCTTTTCAAGTACCTGTTGCCCATCTGTATGTCTTCTTTGAAAAAATATCTATTCAGATCTGCCTGTTTTTTAATTTGATTGTTTGTTTTTTTGTTACTGAGTTGTATGAGTTTGTTTTTTTGTGTTTTTTTTGCGGTACGCGGGCTTCTCACTGTTGCGGCCTCTCCCGTTGCGGAGCACAGGCTCCGGACGCGCAGGCTTAGCGGCCATGGCTCACGGGCCCTTGAGCCATGTGGGATCTTCCCGGACCGGGGCACGAACCCGTGTTCCCTGCATCGGCAGGCGGACTCTCAACCACTGCGCCACCAGGGAAGCCCGAGTTGTATGAGTTTTTAATATATTTTGGATATTAAGTCTTTGTCAGGTACATGATTTGCAAATATCTTTTCCCATTCAGTAGGTTGCCTTTTCATTTTGTTGATGGTTTCCTTTTCAGTGCAGATGCTTTTTAGTTTATTAGTTTATTGTACTCCCACTAATTTGTTTTTGCTTTTATTGCCTTTGCTTTTGGAGTCAGATCCAAAAAATCATCACCAAGACCTGTGACAAGGAGCTTACTGCTTTATGCTTTCTTCTAGGAGTTTTATGGTTTCAGGCCTTACATTCAATTCTTTAATCCGTTTTGAGGTAATTTTTTGTGTGTTGTGTAAGATAGTGGTCTACTTTCATTCTTTTGCATGTGGCTGTCTAGTTTCCCAACAGCATTTATTGAATATTGTATATTCTTAGCTCCTTTGTCATAAATTAATTGACTGTATATGCATGAGTTTATTTCTGGGCTCTCTATTCTGTTCCATGGATCTATGTGTTTGTTTTTATACTGTTTGATTACTATAGCTTTGTGATGTCTCCAGCTTTGTTTTTCTTTATCAAGATTGCTTTGGCTATTCAGGATGTGTTGTGGTTCCATATAAATTTTAGGGTTGTTTTATTTCTGTGAAAAATGCCGTTGGAATTTTGACAGGGATTGCATTGAATCTGTAGATTGCTTTGGGTAGTATGGGCATTTTATCAGTATTCTTACAACCGTGAGCTGGAATATCTTTCCATTTATTTGGGTCTTTGGTCTCTTTCATCAGTGTCTTAACTTTGCCTTTATTTTTGATATTTTGAATTGTCTACAACGTGTATGTGCATCATTTATTACATATCTGAACCTTAAATTTAATTCCTACTAACAAAATGGTAATCTTTACATTTCATCAGTTATTTCCCTCTTGGAATTTGCCTAGTTTCCTGGAAAGATGATTCAGTTTTTTGTTTTTTGTTTTCCCCAGGAACCTGCTTTGTTTAATCAATGCCATTATCTCATCATCCCTGACCAAACATTTCCGTTGGAATCCCCCAATTTAGAGTCCCACTTGGGTTCATCCTAGCCACAAATGTAAACATATCTTAATATCCCAAACTTTTTAAAAAGCTTTTTAAAAAAAGCTATCAAGGTTTCTAAAAATAAAACTTATTTTGAGTTTTCATCTAAATCTAGGAAGCAATTATAGTGGAATTTGGGAGGGAAAACATAAAGTTATTGAAAAATTCAAACGTTTCCAAAGCCAGAATGAATCAGTCCAAAACATACTTCCCTCACCAGTGTACTTAACAAAAAACTGATCTGGTGAATATAATACATAACACACAGTAAAACAAGATTTTTCCCATTTTAAATTATACTAATAAGAAATAGTTGTTTTTATTGTAGTTGTTTTACAGTGTTGTGTTAATTTGTGCTGTACAGCAAAGTGATTCCTTTATACATATATGTACGTTCTTTTCCATTATGGTTTATCATAGGATATTGAATATAGTTCCTTGTGCTATACAGTAGGACCTTGTTGTTTATCCATTCTATATATAAAAACTTACATCTGCTAACCCCAACCTCCCAATCCATCCGTCCCCCAACCTCCCAATCCATCCGTCCTCCAACCACCTCCCCACTGGCAACCACAAGTCTGTTCTCTGTGTCTGTGACTCTGTTTCTGTTTCATAGATAAG